ATCATTATCATTATCATTATCATTATCACTATCATTATCATTATGATAATAATAATGATAATGATAACACTTGAAAAAGCATTAATAAATTACTTAATAAAAAATAATCAAAATACATTACTTGCTGTATGGCTTCTATCTTGATTTATAGTTTTCAGATACCTACTGTATTATTAAAGTTGGGACTGTATGCTTGCATTTTGTTGAATAATTTCACGTTATTTCAGTTCAGGGTATTATTGAATATGTAGTGATACTCTGTCAGCAAATAGTGCGCCATAAAACAAACAATCACAATAAATTTTTCTTTCACATACGCCCCTTTTACTATTTTGGATACGCACACATATATAACGGATTGTCGTACACCCATGTACATTCATAGGCACCTACACTTCTTACCCTGACACACAAATATGCTCATTAACGCGCACACACTCAGGCATATCCTGAAATACAAATACTTATGTTCACACACACACACACACACACACACACACACACACACACACACACACACACACACACACACACACACACACACACACACACACACACACACACACACCACACACACAAACGCAAATAATCACGATCCTTCACTCACACACCATAAAACACAGACATTTATGCTCATTCGCTCACACATTCCCAAAAATACAAATACTTACGCCCATTCTTACACACACAACCACGTACTTACAGACACCCACACTCAACGAAAGCACACACCCATTTCCCCCAAGGTACCACGCCCTCGGCCCCCACTCACCCGCAGCAGTGACCTTGTCCACGGTCGTCCCCAGGCGGTGGGCCATGAAACCGAGTACCGAGAAGACCACGAAGCCAACGAAGATCGAGGTCATGGCACACACGATGGGCACGATCTTGGCCGTCCTCATGCTGCTGCTCCGGAACTTGTTGTGGGAACTCATGGTGGTGAGGACGCCGTAGCCAGGGGTCATCGAGAAGAAGATCTGGACGGCCGCCGCTGCCCACACCTGAGGGAGGGAAATGGGAATGGTTAGGGAGGATAAGGGAGGAGGGAACTTTGCCTTGATTGCCCATTGGAAAAGATACCTGAGGGTAGGAATGATTAGGAAGGATAAGGGAAGGAGGAACTTTGCCTTGATTATAAAAGACACCTGAGGGAGGGAATGGAAATGGTTAGGAAGGATAAGAGAGGAAGGAATTTTACCTTGACTGCCCATTGTAAAAGGTACCTGAGGGAGGGAATGGTTAGGAAGGATAAGGGAGGAAGGAACTTTACCTTGATTGTAAAAGGTACCTGAGGGAGGGAATTGGGTTAGGAAGGATAAGGAAGAAGGGACTTTACCTTGATTGCCCATTGTAAAAGGTACCTGAGGGAGGGAATGGTTAGGAAGGATAAGGGAGGAATGATTTCCACAGAAGACTATCATAACAAGAATTAAAATAATGTTTTATTGAGAAAGACTGATTATTAGGGAAATATAATATGATAATGGAGATAACACGATAATAAGGAAAGGTTACTATTGTAATAAAGAACATTTATAAATATAACAAAGCACAATGAAAATACAGTACGTATGAGAAAACAATCTAATAAGCATAATAATTATGCAAGATAAAAGAAATGAAGCTTGATAAATGAAATGAATCAGTATGATGAAGAAAAATGTTTTAGAATGATAATGAAGGATCACATAATTAAGTAAAACATTTAAACTAAAATGTTGTTAAACATAGCTAAGTAAAATTGATAATCTTTATAACTGAAATAACTGGCTATAATTACATGAATAAATAAATACAGTCATTACATAAATAAAATAATGATTAGGTTATAATGCTTCATGATTTGTTAGAGAAGGAAAAGTTGTTTGTTAAGAATAGGTAATAATTAATTAATACATGTAACTACTTACAATAATATATAATAAGTATAAAGTATGCATACACTAGCATGAAACGACAGTCTTTCTTGTTATGTTGAATACAGCTTACGGAATTAGTGCTTTATAAAACATGTAATCAAAACCAATAACTTCGACAACCAAGCTTTCAGAACCTCCCCAACGAGAACCTCACTGGAGGGATCACCGGCGAGAATAAGACAAAATAACTCCCAGCTGTATCAAGGTCTAAGAGAGGGGTTGGTGCACCGTCTTCTGGCTCACTCCATCCTGGACTTCGGACACTCCTCCCGCGTGTTTGCTATGTGTGTTAACCCGTGTTACTGGGAAACGGGATCTTGGCGGCTGAACAGTGCACGACGCCATGTCCTAGAGCTAACGCCACGCCCCTTTGATCCTTTGTTCCAGTCAGACAAGCGTTTTAACCTCGACCTTTTCGAGTTAATCAGCTGTTTTGTATGACTAGGAATAAGCAGATGCCACCCAATCAGCCTTGCACACCGTTAGTTGTGTTGGGTGATGTCTGCATATGTTTCCTCGCTATCAGTGTGTTTTTTAGATGGATTCCCATATAGCTCTTTCTTGGATGCTGTGACAAGCCAGGGGTGAGGGAATGACGACTTGATTTCTTCTACTGAGAATACAAATTTGAAACGGCCAATCTCACCTTGAAAAATTGCACGGTTTCCCCGAGAGGATGCCGTGTTCAATCCCATTATAGTAACTTTGATCATGGACTGAATTCAGGAATAACAGTGATGATACATTGAGGCATTCCCTTTCAGCCTATCCGCCTCCAGAGAAACCAAAGACTGTAAAGGTATGCTTAAGTAGACCTTACAGTATAGTACCCATCTACCTAGCTGTAAATGACCCTATAAATGACGTTTGCGAAACTACATATGCCATTTCTGCCGAGATCTCTAATCTTGGGACACTTCATTAGCCAGCATCACATCTGAGGTAACACTACAACTGCAACTGCCAAGGAAAGACTTTACAGTCGTCGTTTAAAAGAGTTAAAGCAATGATACTGAACAGTGATACACCAACAGTGACATGATTGTTAGTTCATCTGGAGTTTAACTGAATTTGATGAAAGCAATTACTTCCCAATAGTTTGGGAGAAGTTAAATAACATTTCAGCCATTGGAGCGTAGCGGTGGTTTGCGCATTCAAACATGACTATTATCAACTGCAGGAATTCGTGGAAATATGCCAGTGCGTTCGGAAACCTATTGATCACATCTCAGCAAGAATTAACTTGGCAGCAGAAGTATCCATTCCCAGAAGTAGTGTATGATACCACGGTCCACTATACCACAGTGGTGCCATTTACAGGTTTTCTGTTGGTCAGCGTCCATCCCATTCAAAAAGCAGCGGTGTTGGCAAGGCTGAGAATAGGACATACAAGATTGGCTCATGGCTGGTTGATGTCTAAGGCAATGTTTTGTGAGGAACAACAGGAGACTGACGATTCCCCCATTTAGCAAGAGTGCAGAATTCTCAGACTCAATATTATGCGTTTGTCTTTCCAATATACGCTGTAAGGTGTGTCGGAAGACGATTATTGTCTTAATAGCGTTCTAAGGGAAACTAATATTCTAAACAATATATGAATCGGAATTCGTATAGTATGCATTCTTACATTTCATACTTTAAAATATTCAAATGGAAGGATACAGTTACCTTTCAATGTGTCTAAACACAGAAAAAATATAACTATTTTATATCTGTTGACACTAAGTGAAGTAGAATAAGTACGTTTATACTGATAATGATAACAATAAGTATGAAGAAAGAAATGATACAATAAGTGCCGAATGAGATGACGACTCTAATAAAAATTTTAAGATAATAATGAGGAGGAGGAGGATGGTAATGATGGTGACAGATAATGAGGAGGATAAGGATGGTGAAGACGATAATGATAATGGTAATGATAATGATCATGATGGTGATTAAAACGGTAACAAGAAAATAAAAATTATTCCATGCATGCAGGGAACAATTGTTGTCTCACTTTAGGCTGCTTCAGCTTGTCGAAATTCGGGTAGATGTAGAAGTAGATGCCATCCCAGGCTCCAGGTAGAGTCACCCCACGTATGAGGAGAATCGTCAGCATTACATAAGGAAATGTTGCTGTCAGCCAAACCACCTGTCGATAGGATTTTATGAATTATCTGTGGGAATATTACACGGAAAATTATGTGGGAAAATTACACAGAACTGTCTGTGGGAATATTACACTTAGAATTGTCTGTGGGAATATTACACTGAGAATTATCTGTGTGAAAATTACACTGAAAATTGTGTGTGGGAATATTACACTGAGCATTGTCTGTGGGAATATTACACTGGAAATTACCTGTGTGAAATTTACACTGAGAATTGTCTGTGTGAATATTACACTGGAAATGATGTGTGTGAAAATTACACTGAGAATTGTCTGTGGGAATATTACACTGAAAGTTGTCTGTGGGAATATTACACTTAAGATTGTCTGTGGGAAAATTACACTAAGAATTAACTGTGGGAATATTACACTTAGAACTGTCTGTGTGAATATTACACTCAAAATTGTCTGTGGGAATATTACACTGAGATTTGTGTGTGGGAATATTACACTTAGAATTGTCTGTGTGAAAGTTACACAGAATTGTGTGTGGGAATATTACACAGAATTGTCTGTGGGAATATTACACAGAATTGTCTGTGTGAAAATTACACTGAGAATTGTCTGTGTGAATATTACATATGGAATTGTCTGTGTGGAAATTACACTGAGAATTGTCTGTGGTAATATTACACTTAGAACTGTCTGTGGGAATATTACACTGAGAATTGTCTGTTCGAATATTGCACTGAGAATTGTCTGTGAGAATATTACACAGAATTATCTGTGGGAATATTACACTTAAAATTATCTGTGGGAATATTACACTTAAAATTATCTGTGGGAATATTACACATTAAACTGAGAATATTCAAAAGATACTTTTAGTCCACGGGGCTGATTTCTTATTCTTAGGCATGCAAGTAGAAATACCATTATAAAGGAATACATAAGGGTGATAAATTATTAGACGAATAAAAAATAAAAAGACTTCTTTTAAAAGCGTGCATGTATGTTGCTTCCATATAACAGACATGCATTGTGTTATTCTAATTATATCCAAATGGTTAGTTTTACATTACAGAATTCCTCTCATATCTCATCCACTTACATCTGTGTGAATAGCAAATAGGTTCAAAATAGTGAGAAGTGAGTGGAATTTTACTCATTTAGTTATGATAATAATTGTCAACGATAATAATAATGGTAATAATAGTTATCATCATCATTTTCTTCCTAACAACAATAATATAGCAGAAACAACAATAACAGTAATAGCTATAATATCAAAAATTACAATAATAATAATAATAAAAGTAAAAATAATGAGGATAATGATAATGTTCATAATAATGAGAACTATGATAACAATGTTAATAGTAATAATCATAAAAAAGGATAATGATAATAACAGTGATGATAGTAATAGTATTAGTAATAATTATTATAATAATAATAGTGATAATGATTAAACGATTCATTATAATGATCATATGGATGATAATAACAAAGATACCAATGGTAATGATAGTAATAATAATAAGAATAATAACAGTATCATTATCATGAATAATATAATTATCATTATTATCAATCTTATCATTATTATTATCATTATCCTTATCTTTATCATCATATTTATCATTACCATTGCCATTATTATTATCATTATCATTACCATTATCATTATTATTACCATTACCATTTTCATTAACATTATCATTACCATTATCATTATTATTACTATTATCATCACTATTATCATCACCGTTAGTAATACCATTATTATTATCATCATCATCACCATTACCATTATCATTACCATTACCATTATTATTATCATCACCATTACCATTATCATCACCATTATCCCTATCACAAATAACAGTTCAACCATTCACTCCACGCGGACACACCAGACCAGACGCAAGCTCATTGGACAACCGCGAAATGTGCCGAGTACACACTGTGCTACCTTCCCCAGCACCCTCACGCCCTTGAAGTTGGCGAGGAAGATGATGACCCAGGTGAAGAGGACGGCGCCCACGACAGGCCACACGAGCCCGCCCACCTCGCCCACGCCGCTGCTGATCTTGAGGACTTCGTTGCTGGGGGGAGGGATGGAGGGGGGGGGGAGAAAGAGGGGGGGAAGGGGGAGAGAGAAAGAGAGAGGGGGGAAGGGAGGGAGGGAGAGGGGAGATAGAGAGAGAGAGGAAGGGGGAGAGGGATGGAGAGAGACACAGCTTAGTGTTTGAAATATCTGTGGATGTTGATGGTGGGTGTTGGTGGACTGGGGGTGGTGGCGATGGTAATGATGATGATGGAGACGGGGAGAAGGAGGAGGGTGGTGGAGGGGGGGGTGATAGTGAAGGGGATGCGGAAGGGAAGGGAGATGGAAATGGTGATGGCGAGGAAATGGTGATGGTGATGACGATGGTAGTGGTAGTGATGATGGTGATAATGATAATAAAGATAAAGATGATGATTATAATGCTAATAAACCAAATACAACATAAACAAAAATCCCGTAGGTCAGGGGTGCCAAAATCAAACCATTCGAGGACAAATATCTATTTCAATTTCCTCTTTGAAGCTCAACAAAGATACATATTTGGTGTTCTAGGCTTGAGTTATTAAAAACGGCCCGAAATTGAATACGTGTGCGCGGTTTCTCTTATTCAATATATTTTAAGAAGAGACATTTAAAGGCACTAAACTGTGTATGTGTATGTCAGGGGCTGTACAACTGAACAACTTAATTTCAGTTTATGATATTCGTTTAATTATTTGCATTTGTAATAACTAAACGTTTTTCCCCTAATAATAACTGTATTAATTAGCAATAGCAATGTAAATGAAATCATTACTCTAATGAAAAAAACAACATTTAGGAAATTTCAGTCACTTAATCCTAAACTACTTTCCCTCATAATGATCATGATTTTACAGTCCAAAGATTCCTCTTTCACCCGCAGGCCATTCGTGACCATTCCGAGAGCCACACTTGACTCGCGGGCCATGAGTTTGGCACCCCTGCAATACACCCCTGCAATACACCCCTGCAATACACCCCTGCAATACACCCCTGCAGTACACCCCTGCAATACACCCCTGCAATACAATACAAATACACCCCTGCAATACACCCCTGCAATACACCCCTGCAATACACCCTGCAATACACCCTTGCAATATACTCTCCTGACGCTTTGGGTGTTGTGAACGTGATATAATTGACGTTCAGAGTGTTAGGTCTGAGCGTGAATCTTTCGGAAACATTCTAATCTCTTTTTGATTAACTTTTTTTTTCGTGTGCATTGTCTATAGATTTATTCTCTCTTTGCTATTGTCATTCCGTTTTGTGATTCTACTGTTTATCCTTCGCTAATACAACCGGAATTTCGTGTGCTTTAGCGATGAATGATAAAACAGAATATTATGCAAATGATTAATAAATCCTTGGACAGCGAGTATCAAAAAATAAAAAATAAAAAAGTATTAAGAAGGATTAAGCATATTGCACTTTATAAACATGAAACGGACTCGCATATTCATCACAATGCCACTGTTTTTCTCATAAAATATTTAGTTATATTTGATTAGATAACAGAGATTGAATGCCTAGATTAGATAGTGCAGTGATCCTTCGATCTCGCATCACAAACGGATGAATTTATGATTTTATCCGATCTTTTAAATCAAGCATAGACTGACGGAAAAGCAGAAATATTTTAGGCTAGTGGTATCTAATCCCGCTGTCTCTTAGATTATCTAGTTGATTTTTCCTCGTTTGTTTTATTCATATTTTTATCTTCAATGATAATAAAATCGTCTACCACAATTTATTATCTATTAAACTAGTACTTGAATGTGATGATTATAAGTTATGTGATTAAATGTGAGGTTTGTTTATTTTATCAAATAACATTGACATAAAACTCGTTCCTGTTGAGACTTACTGAAAGAATTCGTCAGCAGAAGACACGACTGTTTGTGTTCCGTTTTCTGTTTTGTTTTCCTGAAATAAAACAATATTTCAGTTATTGCAGTTCAGCTTCCAGCACCAGTATGTACACGAGTCCTCCTCTTTATATATGAATATAATATTTATATACATTTATATACTTCATTTTTATCAATTTCCTGTGTATGGTTTTCATTTCATTGGAAAGAATTACGTATTTGCAAGGGCGATAAATATCTCTCTGTGTGGAATTCATGTTCGAACAAAATGCAAAAGAAACAACGAATGGAAGAACAAAAAAAACACGGGCATATTCGTGTATTTTCTTGTTCTTTCTTTCGTGTTTCTTTTGCTCTCTAACTTTATAATCATTTTCCCTGTGGATGTTGCAGTCACGTCGCTCAATACATACATGGTACATATATATTTAGTTAACAGAAAAAAAAGGAGTTACATAACCTATTGTATCATTCCACTGGCTATAATGTTCCTTTTGATAAACTGTAAAAAAAATCACTTAGTAGCCATCTTTGTAAATAATTAAAAAATGTATCGGAAATTAACGAGTAAAGAGTAACATATTAACAAATCCGACTTTGTCATCTCCCTGGGTACACTTATCCTCTCATTATAAAATCCAGCTACTTCACCCAATACACACATCACATAAATTTCAAAGATTTTTTTTGTTTCAATTCCATCCGTTACAGTGGATATTCTTTGCTGTGACATGCTGTCTGTTTTATTTTGCTTCTAAATCTCCCCCTGCGTGCAAGGAATGTTCCATCCACTGGCAGAGCGCGGGATCGAACGCAAGTCAGCAAGATTACAAGACCAGCACGTGACCACTGCACTACACAGTACACAAAATCTACAATGAAAAAGATTTACGCATTTGGAAAACCGCTTTTATACTCACCACGAAATCGGCTCTGGTCCTCGTGCAGTGATCCGTGTTCCATTCGTTATCGCAGGAGGTCCAGGGCAGCTCTCTCCTGAGGGAGTGGTAGATGAAGAGCAGCGGATACGCGACTAAGGTAGTGTAGTACCCCGTCTGGAGGAAGTTCACGATGGTCGCTGCTATACCGGCGCCTGCGGGAGGAGGGTTTGGGTGAGGGAAGGGAAGCTGCACGGGCGTTGACGTTGGTGGGTGGGGCGTGTTCAGGGGCGTGCCGAAGGGGTTTTTGTATTTTTGTACTATTTGTGTTTCCCTTTTTATCTCTGTATTTCTCTCTCTCTCTCTCTCTCTCTCTCTCTCTCTCTCTCTCTCTCTCTCTCTCTCTCTCTCTCTCTCTCTCTCTCTCTCTCTCTCTCTCTCAGAACAACAACACCTAACGAAACCCTCCTACCCACCCACCCACCCACCCAAAAAATAGCATACCCAAAACCCCTTAATCTTAACTAAGACCCCCCCCCCCCCCAAAAAAAAAAAAAAAAAAAAAAAAAAAAAAAAAGCATACCCAAAACCCCTTAATCTTAACGAACCTCTGAAGACAGGACACCCTCACCCCCCCCCCCCCCCCCAAAAAAAATAGCATACCCAAAACCCCTTCATCTTAACGAACCTCTGAAGACAGGACACGCCGAGAAGATGCCGATGCAGCTGGAGGAGCTGAACTGGCCGATGGCGGACTCCAGCAGGAACAGCGGGAGGGCCACCAGGACGAGCATCAGCAGGTAAGGCACCAGGAACGCCCCTGTAGGAGGAGGAGGAGGTCAGAGGAGGTCAGAGGAGGTGCAGGAGGAGGAAGAGGTGGGGAGATGAGAGGAGGTGGGGAAGTGGGGAGGAGGAGGAAGAGGTGCAGGAGGAGAGGGAAGAGGTGCAGGAGGAGGAGGAGAAGGGGAGGTGAGGACGAGGAGGAGGAGGTGAAGAGGTGAGAGGAGGAGGGGGGGGTCAGAGGAGGTAGGGAGGTGGAGGAGGAGAAGAAGGAGGTCAGAGGAGGTGGGGAGGAGGAGAAGGAGGAGGAGGTTAGAAGGGGTGAAGAGGAGGAGGTGAGGAGGTGGAGAGATGAGAGGAGGTAAGGAGGAGGACGTGTGTATATATACATATATACATACATACATACATATATTTATTTATTTTGTATTCATTCATCTATTTATTTATTTACTTATTCTTATTTATTCATCTATTTATTCACTCATTAATCTATTTAATCATTTATTCATTTAATCATCTATCTATACATTTATTCATTTGTTTATTTACATAGATATTCTTTTATCTATCATACATATTCTCTTATCTATGTATCTATTCATTTATATAAATATCTGTACATCTATATATTCATTTATATATATCCACTTGTACATATATATATATATATATATATATATATATATATATATATATTATATATATATATATATATATATATATATAAACTAGATCCGAAATGTTTCCCCACAGGACCCGTGGCAGATCTGTCACACTCGGATGAAAACACTTCTGGGTTGCCTTGTCCTGTCTTGTCTGTCCCGTTATTATATTTGATACAGAAACTTCCCAGTATATATATAAACAAGGTACTCTATCACAGTTGCAGGAATTTATAAGCAAGAGTACTGAGGACATTCTGTTGTCAAAATAACTAAAGAGTCTGATTAGTTATTTTGTCATTATTATTATCGTAACTATTACTGTTTTATAATGATTATTGTAACCATCATTATCATTACCAATATTGTCATCATCAGTATTCCCATAAATATTTGTATTTCTATTATCATTACTGTCATTATTAACATTATTAATATTACCATTATCATTGTTAACACCATCATCATTCTCACCATCTTTATAATCATCATTATCCCCATTTCAACCATTCTCACTATTATCTTAACATTACTACAATACCCCTCCTTATGATAACAACTCATCCACCAACAACAAAACGATAATAATAACACCACCAACTATAACGACCATCAAAGGAGACACGAATCAACAGACTCGACTCCCACAGCCTCGTACACAGCAACAAGGCGCCCGACTGACCACGTATCCCAGTGTTGTTCCCTCGCGTAAATTGAAAAATTGCTCTCATCTCTTACGTATGAGGAAAGACTTGCAGCGTCAAGGGCAATCTAAGAATAAAATATTTCATTTGTCTTGATGCAATGTGTTCAAACTCGGATTTCATTGCCTGTGAGGCGAGCTCTGGGTTGCCTGAAATGGTGGAGCTGGGAAGGGGTTGGTCAAGGCAGGCTATCCCGCCTTATAGGAAACCGTGTATCGGTGCATGCAACAAAGCATGCTCTGCTCTCATAAGCACACAACCCGCACCACGGACACAAAGCCTACACCACCACACCACCACGCACAGCGAACACATCACACCAAGCGCCAACTCACACAGCACCTACACCTATGCATATCAGAGTATATATGCAAGTGCTCAATATATATATACTATAGATATATATACCTAGATATATGACTGATGAATTACTCTCTGTGCCTCAACGCCCCGAGCTCTACACTTCACGACTCACTAGTCCTTTATATAACGATGACTCACGATCAACATCATCTACTTCCTAAGGCTACACTCACTAGGGGTTACCCGCACTCAATGATGCTCCTACTTACATTCACAAATGCGCGATTATACTCTCTACTACACGATGGAGTGACACTCAGTCGATATATCACATTATATTTATATTATACACACAGCGCGTGTGCAGCGGCACACCAGCACCTAACACCGATCAAATCCCAAACTATACCAAGTCTCTGTACACATGTCCTTCATTCGGTTCTTAGTGCTCTTACACACCAGTGTCCACTGAGATCAGTGAGAACTATATATATAATGTACTCGGGTGAAGACTAATTCCATATCCGTGTGAATCACCTGTGTGGCCTAATACCCAATACTGTCCTTGAGTCTACTGGCATGCCCGGCCGATATCAGCGCCTGTGTTATTCCGCTTACCGAAAGTCAAATTCACTACCAAATTAGTCATTCCACTGCCGCGTGCCATGAGATACCCTCTCACATATTGATTAACGCAAGTCAATGTTAGTTCATACCCACAAACTATATCTACAGTATAATAACCGCCCTCTCCGCATCGAGAATCACCCACGCTACTACAGCCTCAGCCAGACACGATCTAGCCTACTGTTAGTGATTAGAATACACCTCTCCTGCGAGGCTACTTACTTTCCTCTCAGCTAGTAAATCACACATAATCGATAATAATTCTCTGAGTACACTATCAATTATTGTGCTCTTCACAACCGATATTCCGTTTTTTACTGGCTTCTTCAGCGCTACGCTGACTTACACTTAATCGGTATAATATAGGATATATTATATATATATATATATATATACTAAGATATATATATAATATATATCTTAATATATATATAGTTATCATATACTCGCCCATAGTTCGATATTAACTATAATATATACCATATATATACAAATTAACATAAATAATATACTCCCGGCGACACACCATATATAAGCCCCACTATACGTGTGATAACCCTCCCTGGTCGATCAAACGGCCATCACTCCACCCTTTCTGCATGCATACGCCTTTGCATATAATCGAGGTGCTAGTCTGGTCATACCACTGGTGCGGTCTAGCGTCGTCGCACGACGCTAATCCGACAGACCATAAGGGATTCTGTAAGTCCATTCTATGTGATCCATGTGTGGTGAGCACTGGAGGAATCGTACTTATGTTATATATAGCATTTTATTGCTGTCATAGATCGCTTCTCATGCGGTTGTGTTGTGTGATGTGTGGATAGAAGCCACTCTTGCCTGCTGTTACTATTTCCCACTATTGTTATATTAACCTTATATTCCTTTCCTATACCCGATTGCTACCCTTTATAATAACATGTACATGAGTGGTTCATAATATTAGAAAACAAAAAAAAAAAAAGAATATATATTACTATATAGATATCACTATATAGTAAGTATACTATTCTCAACGATTCCGAGCACATCAACGTTCAAGTATCCTCACTGTACTCTATCAAGGCGCCTATTGTTGAGACCGCAGCGTCTCATTCACACAAAACATAGACCTGCACTGAGTCAAGATAACCTAAGGGAGGCCCCAGGCCAGACCATATGACACGATGCGCGACGAATAGCCGAATTTGGGGGCCCAAGACCTGGAAACAAAACATCCGCCCCCCAAGGAAGGGAAACCCTGGAAAAGAAGCGCAGAGGAGGGTACCCGTCCTTTGCCCCAGTGGATTGGACCCTCTGGCTAGATGATGATACCGATGTATCTAATGATACGCTATATTATATATATATACCCATATATCTAATATTAATAATATATACTAACGTCACCATATATATATATTCTGCATTACCTTAAGTGTCTCTGACGTTACGTGTGTTTGTCATATCTAGACATATACTATATATACATATATATATATTATATATATATATAAATAATATATATATATATATATATATATTCCAAAATGAAAATAATTATAATGATAATAACCAAGAATAAATGATAATAAGTAATGATTAAAGAGCCCAGTAGTAATCGCTACCTCACAATAAGTCCAAACTCAGAGCGAATACAAGAACAATAAGAATCCTCATAAATAACATTTTATAATAATAGTTATAGTTCTTATGATATTTGATTCCAATGAACAATAATAATAATAATAACAATAATGATATTATTATTATTATCGTTATTATCAACGATAATGATAATGATAATTAAGAAAGACAATAATAATAATAGTAGTAATAATAATAATAATAATGGTAATAATAAAAAATAATGATAATGATGATGATGATAATAATAATAGTGATAAAAGTATTAATAATTTATGATGATGATAATGCATAATAATGATAATAATAATGATAACAATAATGATAATAATAAAAATAATAAAAAATAATAAATAATTAATAACTAATAAACAATAGTAATAATAATAATAATAATAATAATAATAATAATAATAATAATAATAAATATAAACAACAACAACAGTGATAATAATAACATCAATGATCATCCAGAAGAAAAGGCCAAAAAAAATTAAGAAGATGAAGAAAAGACTAAAAAGTTAGGAAAGGGATGAGCAAGACGGGCGCTACGAGAGATGATCAGGAGAAAGAAAAGTAACTAGCGAAAGACCGAAAGCCAATGAGAAATCTCAGCCTCGTGGTCTATCGTCAAAGTTAATTGCTATGATATACAGAGGGAAAGCCCGAGGAGGCAAAAAAAAAAACTGTGGCCTCATCCCTTTCACACTTCAAGTGTCAATCGTTATATTATAGCGCGACGCAAGCAAAAGACAGCTCTATCGGCCCGACCATGTTCCGTGCTACGTACCCAGGTATCGAGACAGAAGGATGCCCTCGACACGATAGCAGACGACTCCGGCTGTAGAGTCACTAAGAGAAGACACTCATGCTAGCAGCTAGCGAGTGCTGACGGTAAGAGCAATAAAAAGAGATTTCAGTTTTATACTCTAGACCTAAGTCAGGATTGCTAGACGTTTTTTTTTCTCCACCCCTCCCACGGCCTCTCATCTCCGCGCACCGCTCTCTTCCCTCCGTGTGGCTCCCCTCTTCTCCCTCGGCATCCTCTCACTCCCCTCTCTCTCTCTCTCTCCTCTCTCTCTCTCTCTCCTCTTCTCTCTCTCTCTCTCCTCTCTCTCCCTCTCTTCCCTTCTCCTTCTCGCTTTCCCTCCCTCTCTCTTCCTTCGTCCCTTGGCTTTCCTTCTCCCTCTCTTTCCTTCTTCCCTCTCCTTTCCTTCTCCCTCTCTTTCCTATCTCCCTCTCTTTCTTGCTCCCTCTCTCTCTTTTTCTTAACCTCTTTCCCTCTCTCTCTTCCACCCTAACCTTCAACCCCCCCACCCACATATATTTCTCTGCTCAACTCCTCGGCACGCTCCTCATATATTCTCCTTACACACACCCCCCCCCCCATCCCCGCCTCACCTCCTCCGTTCATGTAGCAAGATGTAAGGGAACCTCGAGCCCCACACCCTTTCAACCACGAGTTCCTCGATGGTAAGCCCGATGACCGACAGGATGTGCTAGGAGTTCTGTCTCTGCATTACCTCACGTTCGCCCGTGAAGGAGTACGTTCCTGCGGCCTCTCCTACTGGCAGTATCGTCCTCGTTTCCTCGGGATCGACAGTGATGGATATGAACGGTGCTGTAGTCCGCGTGCACCGCTTCAGACGCCCATCTTGATCGGCGCCCCGTGTATAGCACCACTCTTCTAAACCACCTACAGGAGATCTCAGTGCCATCCAGGCACAACCGCTTCTGCGGTCATGGGGGGGCCAGCTGGATCTCTTCACCGTAACATGCCGCAGACGTAGCTACGGTCGGAGCGTTCCGTTGCTAGCACATGACGATCAACTCTCGGTTATGGCAACGATACTGTCAGCCGGTCATACAATGACATATATTGACTGACACATGCGACAACATCTGGACTTAACACGTGCGATCAGGATATCTGGCGGTTAAACTGCGCTAGCAGGGTCGCTAGAGCAAGGGAGGATTACACATGCCCGCGCGCTGCGAGGGACGTCTCCTCGTGAAAGGTAGCTCGATTCCAGGGTAGGGAGAGAGAGAAAAACGAGAGAGGGAGTTAGGGAGAGGAAGGAAGGGAGGGAGTGAGGGAAGGAAGGAGGAGGGGGAGGGGGGGGAGAGAAAGAGGAGGGGGAAAGGAAAGGAGAAAGCAAGAGGGGAGAGAGAGAAAAAGAGAGAAGATCCAGAGCAGAAAGAGACAAGCTAGCGAGGCGAGCGAGAAAGGAAAAAATAGATAAGATAAAAGAAGAGAGAGAGAAGGTGTATAGAGTGGTCACAGAGCCTAAATGAAACCACGGCCTGGTCTCACAGACCAGCACGTAGTGTAGATAGCCTAGTAGTCGCTTCTCTCGTGACAACCCACAACTAGATCCTACAATCCTGACATACGAGAGTATACTTCAGAGAAGCAATAGATAAACTTCACATATAATATATGACGCGTCAGACCACCCACCCTAACAGAACCACGCCCTACATCACGATAGACGTAACACGAGAACTCCGGTTACTACATCCAGAGCAGAAGCGTAAAAATAACTACGTAGGACAGAATGAATACAGATCATGATAGATAACATGATAAACAAGTCTTTACGCTTAGTTACGTTAATCCAAATTACACCACATCATAATTCCGTTGATCGTTCTCATTACGCCAAGATGGAGTAAATATTTCTTGCAGTGGACATCTTGCGTGATAGATAACAACACATTTGTTTACCAGGTCCAGTGCAAGATTCAACCGATCTTGCAACACAGGACCAACAAACGCGACGGGCCGCAGAGAGTACCCGTAGTAGATTTTCGTGCACTAGCGCCAAAGGAGTATCTCACAGATACAATCCTACTATGCAAATATACGCTAAGATTCTCTGCGTGCGTGTCCATACCTCTCTCACTCCTCTACATCTTACTCCCTCCTTCATATATATATATAGTCTCTGCTCACCTCCGTGCGTGCGTTCTATAACTTTCCTTAGCTCTGGTCTGTCTTCCACTAGCCCTGCGTGTGGCGAGCGCCAGGAAAGTACATTATGATCTCCTCTCACCTAAGTCGTGCGTGCGTGATGCCTGCTAGACCTTCTCCCTCTCTCTCCTGTCTCACTCTCTCTCTCTCTCCCTCCAATGCTTCCCTATCGTCTCTCTCCCTCTCCCTCTCTCTCCTTCTCGTCTCCCTATCTTTTCTTCCTATATCCTCCTTCTCTCTCTCTCATCTCCTCTACTATATGCCTTCTCAGCATTCTTGCCAATCACTAACACACCAATTCTTTCTAACCCCTCTAGGACTCTCCTGCTCTACCCCTCTCGTTCTCTCAGTTCTGCCGCTCCACTCTCCCTCTTCTCAGTTCTCCCCTTCTGCCCTCTCTCCTCTCTCCCTCTCGCTCGTATAGTGCCACCTCCTTCATATACCTCTCTCGATATCGCTTCTCTCTCCTCCTCTTGTCCCTTCCAACTCCCTCTCCTCCATATTCTCCCTCTCTCTTCTCCCTCCCTCTCCCTCTCTCTCCTTCTCCCCCCCCCCTCTCTCTCTCTCTCCCTCTCCCCGCTCTCTCTTCTCGCTTCTCTCTCCTCCCTCTCTCTCCTTCTCCCCCCCTCCTCCCTCTCACCTCTTCTCTCCTATCTTCTTCTCTCTCTCCCTCTCCCTACGTCTCTCCTGGTCCCTCTCTTGCACCTCTCCCTCTATCTCCTTTCTCCCACTCTCTTCTTCTCTTCTCTTTCTTTCTCCCTTCTCTCCCTTTCCCTCTCTCCCTTCTTCCCTCTAGCTCCTCTCCCTCTCTCTCCTTCCCCTCTCTCCTCTCCCTCCTCTCTCCCTGAACAACCGACAAAGTACAGACCAAGGCTAAATCGTTCTAGTGCTAGTGTGGGTGTGTGCTGCGCTCCATCTCTCTCTCCTCTCTCAGCTCCTCTCCATCTCATCTCTCATATCACGTACTCTCTCTCTCTCTCTCTCTCTCTCTCTATCTCCCCAGCTCTGGTCTCTCTGTGTGTGTGCGTTATCTCTCCTCGTCTCAATCCTTCACTCGTCTTTCGATTAATTTCTTTATTCATTTCTCTGTCTCTTTCTCTTTTCTCTTCTCTCTTTTCTCCTATCTCCTTTACATCATTTCCTTTTCTCTTCCCTTTCCTTTTCCCTTTCCCTGTTCACTTTGCCTTTCCTTCCCTATATCCTTTCATCTAAATCTCCCTCTCCCTCTCTCTCTTTTCTCATCCCCCCCCTTTCTCTTCCTCTTCATATTTCCCATCCCTCTTCTTTCCCTCTCTATTATGTATAGTATAATATATTGTGTGCGACTCATAGTACATAAGTGAAGCTCTGTACTTGCGTGGCTACCTCGTTAACTATCTATACTCTAACAGATATACACCACCACACACACCACCCAACCAGATATTTGTTACCACGTAAGTGTCGCTTATATCTCTTCGTAGTGATGGTTATTCTAACCACTCCTGCCTTATATATTATACTATATATATATAATAGTATATTTACACTTCACCTCCTTACCGTGCATGACACAAGCGACCATGGACGTATTAGACGAGAAACGAGTTCTCCGCTGTACATACGAGCGCTGGCCCGCTGTAGCTCGTGGTGGTGTTGGTGTGAGTGCGCGGCACAACAGTGACTGGCGCGTGGTGTGCGAATCAGTACTGATCTGTATTGTTTTGGTGTGATGCAGCGCCACGATCTTACTGGCCTAGTCCACCACTAGTGCTGTCATTGGTACACAGATCGCGGCTTCACAACACGACCTCATAGTTAGTCCTGATTGTTTTGACTTTGCACTCTTCACCTTACTCATCTACTATCCCGCGCAGTACCTGTCAGCATCCTCATATATATACTATATATAATTTATATTATATTATACTATATGATTTGAGCTAATTTGAATAGATATATATCAAAGCTGCCACGCAACCTCCCTGTTATAATTTAATTGACGCCCTATATACTCGTGTGGTCTCCATAACACCTCTATAACGATGCGGATGATGTCTTGATAACATATATCACATGTATATGGATCCACCACTTTGCATAGTGAGTGTGGTCACGATATTATATGACTCGGAAGACCTAATATCGATAAACTAGTATATCCCTCTATGTACTCTATTGATATATAGCCTCCATATAGGTATCATAAGATATATTGTATACTATACGTATATATACGTTTATCATCTTCACGAACGAGACGATCTCGCATCACTATTTACATAATAATATATATATATATATAGATATAATATATATATATTTCACATTACACAACACACACCACACACACACGACACACCACACACACACACACACCACACACACACACACACACACACACACCCCCACACCACCTACAACACCACACACACGCACACACACCACGCACCACACACACACAACAACACACACACCAGACACACACACGCACACGCACGCACACGCACGCACGCCACGCCACACACACATCACCAACACACACAACAACACCACACCACACACACACAGCACACACACACACACACAAAACCCCAGCACCACACGACACACACACACACCACGCACACGCACGCATCACCACACACAACACCACACACCACACCCACACCACACACAACACACACACACCACACACACAACATATAATATATATATATATATATATATTTCTAATTTAACTTAAATAGGTAATCTATAATATTATATATTATATATATAGATCGGTTCACATTTAGGCTATCGCCAAGCACACATCAATAGTCGCCATATATGATATATTATAGAGGATCCAACAGAGTGCATATGATCCGCGCTATCACTTCTTTCACGACCCGTTCTCTATCCCTCATACATGGATTGCGTTGTGTGGGTGTAGTTCTTGTGCGATGTGACAGTGTGCTTAGACGCTGTCTCCCGCTGTTGTAGTTCGAGTGCCGCTGCTTTTCGTGTGGTGTGCGTGTGTGTGGTGTGTGTGTGTGGTGTGTGTGTGATGCGCGTCCGTACACAGCGCCTAGTCGACAGTGATCATGTACTCCGAGTGTGTGTGGTCGGAGGATACTCATATATACGTCCCTCTTCTCGCCGCTTCGTCATTCACTCTCTCTGCTATCGCTTCTACCATACAACACCCGTGCCTCCCGAATACGTGCACAAGGAACCCCATACTCTCTGACCCCTGCTATACACAATACTCACCTTCATGAAGTAGCAAGCAGTGCTGCCTAACTTCACTAATATCGTTGTATTTTAAACTCCATTAAACCATTGCATGTCAATCTCTAACTCACTCTATACCCACCTATTTATTCCTCTACATTTTTTATTTATTTTTATATTTATACTACACACTATATACCGTCACCCCTATTTCCACTTTATTTATTTATTTATCTATCTATTTATTTTATATTATTTATTGGATAGG